AAACGACGGCCCTTTAAGGTTCTCTATATTTTTGGAAATAGGAAAAAGTCAGACAGAGGCATGTCTGGCGAATATGGAGGCTGGGGCATCATAACAGTATTGTTTTTGGCCAAAAACTTTGTTCAAAATTTAACAATTTTAAAACAAATTTTGCTGCCACGCGTTTCATACGCAAAACATTCGAAAAAATGTCATGGGATGACCCAATCGATATACCAACATCATCAGCGACTTCCTTGATGGTTTATAAACATTATTTCCACTTTTTCCATGTTTTTATCGGTTGTTAATGTGCTTGTGCGTTCGGGGCGTTCGTCATCTTCAACGTCTTCACGGCCATCTTGGAAACTCTTATACCACTTGTAAACTCTTGTTTTACTTAGCAGACTCACTATAGGCCTTTGTTAACATTTCACAGAATTTATTTCATTTTTTAAGCAAAATTGGATACAAATTCTTTGATCCATTTCTTTAACGAACGGAAAATCGCCGAGCTCATAAAACACGTCTAACCTTAGCGGCTGCCACAGACAAAGTAAACAATGAAAACAGCTAAAGTTTTTATCATACTTCGGGGGCATGTATACCAACATAATAAAGAAAATTTTATGACAACCGGACCCTCCGAACCCGCGAAATTTAACAATTCTCGTTATTTTCTGAACACACTTCGTACATTAATGCTGGTTTATTAATTCTCTGAAAAAAAAAAAAATCATAAATGCGATGTTTATGAAGCACATCTTTGCTCCCATTCTACACTGCAAATTTGGTTTCAAAGCCACTAAAGTAAATATTTTGCTTAAATCATAAATTTCTGATCCATAGTTCTTTTAAAACCTTAAAAAATGACTTTGACACCGACTTTATTGAATTTATTCGAGGTCGCCGATTGAATAATTCATATCTTGTGGTGATGAATCTTGTATGATCACAGCACAAGAAGAAAGATTGACCCACTTCCGAATTTCTCTTATGCAATTTTTTTCCTCGAAAAATTGTCGAATTTTAAATTTTAATCGTTTCATTTACATTTACCTACTTTGGAACGAAATATGTGATAGGAATGGACCGCCCGAAGAAATTAATGATTTATAGTTTGGTGTCTACCTACACACGTGCACAGGTGTAAAAATTGTTTTTTGTTTATAACACCTGAAACTCACTTTTCTTTAGGTTTCCATCTTATAGACAAATGATTAAATTTCTCCTATTTTAATTACCGTTTTTTTTTTCATTTGTTTATTACCACGGTTGTTAAACGTTGTACACAGGTGTTGGCTGGCACACTGGCATTAAAAAAATGTAAGATTGCTTATTTACTAAATATTCGGTACACCTTTATAACAGGAAACGGTTTACAACTGTATGGTATATCATGCTACAAAAATACATCGAAAACCAATTAGACAAATCGATGCTATAAAACTTTCATGCAAGCCTTTAGTCACCTTTTTAAGTCTTATATTTGTTTTATATTTAATTTAATAATTTATTATAAAATTAAATTAATTAAAAATTTAATTAATACAAATATTTATTTAAAGAGTATTTAGCAAAAATTTTAATTTATAAAAGTATAAAGAATTAAGATACGGATTATATGTTCAATACAAAACACATCTGGTTTATACTAAACTATAAACTATTCTGGTGTACCACGTTATAGAGTTAGCATTATATCGCTGTTTTTGTACCCTGTACAATATGTTGACCAAAACAAAAATCCTTTTATTTTAAAAATAAATTGTCGGGAAAATTTTTAAAAAATTTCGATAATTTTCATGAAAGCGCAGTGGTTTATTATTCCAGTTCTAAAAACGAGTGAAATTTGTAAAAAATACTTATTCAAAATACAAAAATGGAAAATATATTCAAACAAAATTATCAAATATACAGGGTGTCCCATAATAAACTTGCAATACTTTAACAGCAGAGTCTAAGTACAAAAATAAGAACAAAATTTCTATCAACATGGGTCGAGAAATGCTTGCTAAGGAAGCTACAGCCCCAAAAGGGGGGCCCCTGAAGATGGTTTTTATTTAATATCTACATAACCGTTCAAGATAGAAACGTTAAATTTTTGAAATTGATCAAACTTTTTATGGCCAATAATATGTAAAAATAACAATTTCAAATTTTCCATAAGGTGTGGGTCAGATAGATAATATTTACCATTTTCACTTAAAATTTATTTGAAAATTACCTTACATGCCATGTTTAAGAAAAATTATTGCAGGCGACATTTTATGCAATGTGACAGGGAGTTTGATCAATTCTCAAAATTTCATTTTTTTATCAAGAACGGTTTTGGAGATATTAAATAAAAACCATCTTTGAGGGCTCTTCTTTACCTATGTTTTTAAGAACTTTTTTCCTACTTTTGTACGTAGAATCTGCTGTATTGCATGCTAATTATGGGACACCCTGTATAAAAGAAATAACTATTTTTAATTTTTAATTTCTTCTTAAATACCATACCTTAACCAAAAGTATACATTTTGCAAAAACGTAAAAAAAACTGAGTTTGACCTTTTTGATTTACGATATGTCATAGCAACGTGGTATTTTTAACAGTAATATAGATGGAAAAGGTATATTTTATTGGGTAATTCATATTGATTTTAATTTGAAGAAACTGTTGTCAATGCAACGTGGTCTTATCAAGTTAGAGAAGGATCTTACCCGGTAAAACAAACGTTTTGGTTACGTTTTCAATTAACGTAAAGTAAATTGCCAATATATTTTTGAATTTCCACTTATTAATTCAGTACCGTTTACATTATTACAACAATGCATGTGATATACACTGCGCGTCAAAATTAACGCATAACAAGTAAAAAAAATCCAACTCTAAAACTTCTTTACCAATCTTTATAAAATTTTGTATAAAAATACTTTAACTTATATCTTAGTTTACGTGTTAAAGGATTTTCGAAAAAATATCCTTAAAGCCCTTTTATTTAATAATAAAAAACGCTCGAAAAAATACTTTTATAGGGATTTATTTTTAAAGTAAATAAAAAATATGCTGTGGAAGACCGCATTTTTGTACAAATCAAACGAACAGTAACGAAAATACAGCGCCTCAAAGTCGTCAAAAATGACCACTTTTAGCATATTTTTTATTTACTTAAAAAAAATCCCTAATAATTATTTTTGAACGTTTTTTATTATTAAATAAAAGGGCTTTAAAAGTATTTTCTCGAAAAACCCTTGAACACGTAAACTGAGATATAAGTTAAAGTATTTTTGTACAAAATTTCATAAAAATTGGTAAAGGCGTTTTAGAGTTAAAATTGTTTTACTTATTATGCGTTAATTTTGACGCGCAGTATATTTACTGTTACTTGATTAAAAACTGTCAAAATAAAATAACAAAATTGAAAATATTCAAAATTTAAAAAACAGTATTGAAAACATGTTTAAATTATTTAATAAACTACTTATATATTCAGATATTTATATAACGTTATTTTTAGGAAAAAGTATATTCATAAAGCAAGAATTAGTAAAAAAATTAACAAAATAATTATTTAATTGTGAATGTTTGAGAACATTTGTAAATTGTGTAAAGTAGAACTGAAATTGATAAGTTAAGACAATGATAATTATGCCAAGCTGTCTAGTAATGTTAATCAATCATTTTGAGTGTTGATTGTATGTATTAGACTGGGCCAAAAATGACAAAAAAAATATTTCGTGAAAATTTGAGCCCTTAATATTAATTTTAAGAGGTCTATCATCGCTATTTTTGATTTTTAGTCATAATTTGATGTTTTACGTTAGAGCTGTCAAAACGTTAAATTGAAAAAAATCCTTTTTACTTATTTTTATATAAAATTCTCTACAAAAAATGTCTGATTGAAAATTTTCGTCAGACGAGCCGTTTCCGAGTAATTAAGCTTAATAAATCGATGTGTTTTTTCGATTTGCCCTTTTTACTTTGAAATTTTGTAACTAATGAATCAATGAATTTTAAAAAAAGTTCGAATTATATTCTATTCTATTTAATATTCTACAAAAAAGGTCTCTTAACATTTTTGCCTAAATTTAATTCTTCAAAAGTTATTCACGAAGAAAAAATTGAAATTTTAAGTTTTTCTTCGATTTTAATCGTGAATAACTTTTGAAGAATTAAGTTTAGAGACCTTTTTTGTAGAACATTAAATTTTCTTTAAGAATCCGACGTGAGCTTTTTTAAATATTCATTGATTCATTAGTTACAAAATTTCAAAGTAAAAAGGGCAAATCGAAAAAACACATCGATTTATTAAGCTCAATTACTCGGAAACGGCTCGTCTGACGAAAATTTTCAATCAGACCTTTTTTGTATAGAATTTAATTTTATATAAAAATAAGTGAAAAGGAATTTTTTTCACTTTAATGTTTTGACAGTTTTAACGTAAAACATAAAATTATGACTAAAAATCAAAAATTAATATTAAGGGCTCAAATTTTTGTCATTCTGAATGACATTTTCGATATATTTAAAAAAAAATAGTCAATTTTTTTGGCCCAGTCTAATATTCATAAAGCAAAAATTGGTACAAAAATTAACAAAATAATTATTTAATTGTGAATGTTTGAGAAAATATGTAAATTGTGTAAAGTAAAACTGAAATTGATAAGTTAAGACAATGTCAATTATGCCAAGCTGTCTAGTAATGTTAATCAATCATTTTGAGTGTTGATTGTATGTATAGTAAGTAAGTAAGTGAAAACATAGTGCAAACAGTAAAATAATTTTTCAAAATTCGAGTTTCTATTGTAGGCATAGGCCGGCAGGTTTTAATTTCTTTCTTATTGTTTGTCTACATCATTTTACGAACCGTTTCGTATTTGCTAATGTATTCAATTCGCTTGGCACTCGTGATCTATCCTTCCTTCCTTTCCATTATTTGGAGATGAGTATAAAACTCGAACAATGGCTGAGCTCCATGTCAGTTGTCCCTTGCCGTTTGACCGAGGTGTAGTGTATCCGCTGAACATTTGTGAATATGAAGTTAACGTGCGTGATCGTGGTCATGGCCGCCTGCGTGGCGTCGGCACAAGACTTCGACTCGGGTGTTCGCGTCGCCATGAAAATCTACGACGACTGCAAAATTAAGTCGGAAGGTTTCTCGCCGTGCCTCAAGAAAAAGGCCATCGTGTTTATGGATAGACTGAGCCGCATGGAGAAGTTAGACTTAGTGGATGGTTTTACCCTGGTACGCGCTGCAGACGCCAAACAAGAGCCCGCCACCACCGAGGAGCAGCTAGACGCTAATTTACCCCGCGCTTTGGAGGACAAGGATACCACCCTCAGCAACATGGTTTACGACAAATTCAACAACTTCATCCAATCCAGATCCCTGGATATCTCCGTGCCCAGACTAGTAGAAGATGAGGATGATGAAGATGTCGACGACGAAGAATTCGAAGGTAACAAACCACCCCCAACTTAATAATCAGCAATTACTAATTCACTTTTTATTATAATTATAGGTCGCAAGGGCAAGATAAAGATCCCCAAAATGAAGAAGAAGAAGGGAGGCAAGAAAGGTATGATGGGGGGTATGATGATGATGCTGATGGGCAAATTGATGGGACTCATCCCAATCGCCATTGCTGGTTTGTGGTTGCTCGCTAAGAAAGCCCTCATTACCGCCAAAATCGCCCTCCTTCTTTCCGGTATCATGATCATCAAGAAGCTCATGCAATCCAAACAAGGAGGCGGCGGCGGCGGTCACAGCAGCGGCGGCTGGTCTTCCGGTCCAACTAGCACCTATGATGTGCATTTAGATGGGCATGGTGGCGGACATGGAGGCGGTCATGGAGGCGGACATGGAGGCGGTTACAGCGCCAATGCCCAATGGCAATCCAGTGGTGGCGGTGGCGGCGGTTGGGACAAGAGGTCCCTGAACGAAGCTCAGGATTTGGCTTACACTGCCTACAAGCCATGATTACCGACTTAAGTTGATTTTTTTGAAATTTGGCACCATTGGTATTCTTTAAAGGCCATTTAAACGTTATTAATTTATTTTTTCATTATTTAATTTAAATCTTTTTTAATTTATTTTATTTATTGTTACACCAGTTTTAACTGCGAATAAAAATGTTTTGTTATAAAAAGTCGTTTTATTTTTTAAGGATTTTAGGTGGGACAAAAAATCTTTTATAAAATAAGGATTTTCATCCTGCTAATTTACATAGGCTTAAATGTCCAAACAATAAAAACTATTTAAAAAATTTATAACAATTTAAAATACTTAAAACTTTGACATTATAAAAACCGATGGGAATGTGTCCCAGTTCACAGAATCCTTAATAGAGCAATTAGACATAAAAATCGGATTTAAAATAAAATAAAACAATAATAACGTATAATTAATAAGTAAGTGAATAAAAAAAAATAATTTTATTTTTAATATACCTATATATGTATTTATTTATAATTTTTAGACTATTGGTACAATTGGTACAATCAAGGGTTAGTCTTTGTTTAACACTTATGTATCTACACCTCTGTACACATAAATAGAGGAAATAACAATGATAAGATATATATAACCGTGACTTTGCTCCCAACTATCCCGAATTTTTTTTATCACAAGTCCAAGTTTGTATTTTTTTGCGGTAAAAATAAGCAATGCTTTACATATGGATTGCAATCCAGCAGGGTTTTTAATCCAGCTGGATTTTTGATGGATCAATTTATAATTTTTTTCTACTCCCACCTTTAAAACGCCCTTTATCGTACATGTTTCCATGACACTAAGTGACCTTTTACACATTGACAAGTTGTGGCTTTATGGCGCTTTAGGGCGCTTTAGTCACGGGCTGAAGTTAGCAACAGGTTTTTAGTCACGGGCTGAAGTTAGTTTTAAGTTAGTTGACAGTTGTCAAATGTCATACAATCGTTAAAATAAATTGCCTTTCTTGTAAAATAATACTAAATGTGAAAATTATTTTATTATCTCAATACAAAAATACAAAAGTATTAAATAGTTTCTCAACGCCAATATTTAAAAAGTTTATATGAACATTGTACTGACCTTTTAATTTTGCCGGCAGTAAACTATAACTTAAATTCGGCACGGACTCGACTGTGAAAAACTGTCAATTTTCAAGAAATACATTTCGATTTATAACCTTTATAATCTGTGTTTATAAAATAAAAAAAAATTGACATTTGACGGTGACACACAGATTCCCCTATTGTTTCATAGATGGCGCTCTATACAAATTTTTGATTTAAATCATTTTAAGATAATAATAAATATTTGTCGTAGAAAAAGTATAGTATGCACCTCGTTTATAAACTTTTCTATAAACTTAATAAATTAAGAACTCGCTCGGGCCTAAATTAAATTCGTGTATAAAATGGCGTTTATCAAACTTGATACATAATATACTATTTTAATTTAATTAATTTTTTTTAATAATTTTAAACTTTTATTCTTATTTTTATTTTTATAAAAAACTAAAATAGGTACTAATTTTTAGAAAATAAAAAATAAATTAAATAAAATTCTAATTAGACAGCAATTAAATTAACTAATTTAATTTATTGATATTATATAACTAAAATCTGAATCCAGCTGGATTTCTGGATGAGGGATCCACCAATTGCAATCCCTAGTATTTTTTACAATTGTGGATATTATTTTTGCGTAAAACGTTTTTAAATGATCTTAATGTCTTGAGGGGCCGAGAATATGGACATTACTTAACATTAATCTAGAAGTTAGTTATGCTATATCATACTTTGGGACACCCGGTATAACAACAGTTACACGTGTTGTGTATACTGAACAGGTAGTTGTCGGGCACTTAATTAAAATTTGGAAACATCGGTACATAAATAATAATTTATCGGCTCATTCGATGAATTATAAAACCGACCTGAAGACTAATAATTATTGATAGTTAGTTATATGATAATTCTGCGGTCTGTTTTGTAACATAAACGGGTGGGTGTGTAAATGTTAAAAGTAGCTCGACCGCAATTTTCTTTACACCCGTCTTTACTTTCGGTGAGCCATCGTGGTAACGGTAAACAAGAAATTCGATTGAAAATGTCAATAAGTGTTTCATATCTCGCCGAGATCAATTCATAGAATTTACCGTATCAACAGGTAGATGAAAATTTAATTATAAGACTATAGTATATAGGTTTTTAAATTCCCGTCACGTCACACAACCAAAAATAAATAACTATAATAATAATATTTTTTACTCCAACTTTTAAATACACATTGACAAGTTGTGGCTTTATGGCGTTTTAGTTACGGACTGAAGTTAGCAACAGGTTTTTAGCCACGGGCTGAAGTTAGCTTTAAGTTAGTTGACAGTTGTCAAATGTTATACAATAGTATTAAATAGTTTTTTAACGCCAATATTTGAAAAGTTTATATGAACATTGTACTGACCTTTTAATTTTACCGGCAGTAAACTAAATATAACTTAAATTCGGGCTCGGACTCCACCGTAAAGTGCTTATAAAACATTTCTTTATTTTACTGTGGAAAAATATTCTTAATCAATTTTTAAGGGATACAATTCGATTTATAACATAAAAATTTAACATTTTTAGATAATAATAAGTATTTGTCGTAGAAAAAGGATGGTATGAAACTTGTTTATAAACTTTTATAGAAACTCATTAATGTACAGACAGATGTCAAATTTTTAACAAATAAAATTTGCTTTTAATTCTGTTTTGTGGTCGTCGTAGATGAAGTATAGAATACAACTCGTTTTATAAACTTCTCTAGACACTCGTTTTTATTAAACACTCGCTTGCAACCTTCGCTCGTGCCCAATAAAACTCGTAACTAAAATTGCATTTATAAAACTTGATACATAATATACTATTATCTACTCATATTCCATAATATTGTTTTTTTCGTATAAATATACATATACATAAACATTATAAATTCCCTGCCTAAAAACGGGAATAATAAACTCATTATTCACGTTGTTAGGCATCAGTGATTGGCCGAATTCAATATTCACTGTGATTAAAATATTAAATTTGGTCAACATGAGGTTAACCATTTATTTTTGAAAATCATTTAATCAACAAATTATTGTATTAGATAAAGTATAGTATATAATAATTATAGCCTGCATTATATCTCGTATAATAATATCTATTTTATCAGCAACCTCGAAAAAACTACAACAAAACAAGACGATAAAAACTAAAGAAAAATAGTTATAACGAGATAGTTGGGAGCAAACTCACGGTTATAAATATATATGTACATAATAATTATGGTATTTTATGTAAATAAATGTAAGTAGATATTTATTTCATATTTATAAAATACTTTCTCACAATAAATACAAAAACCTGCAGACGTATAATTATAAATGCATCATTTAAATTGTATGCTCATTTGTTTTATTTTTAACTGAAATGTCACTCTTACTAAATAGACTTGCTTTCGATACTACAGACGTGGAATTATGAAAAATAGAAGATATCGTTATTAATATCTAGATTACATGGATTATGCACTGGGTACTCGTTTATTTTTGTTTGTTAGATTTATGTTTAGTTATCGATAAATTAATTAACTTACTTATGAAGGTAATTTTATGAGAACTGTTTTGTGTTTTATTTATGTGCTATATTTTTATGTCTATTTTTTTTTAAATCACGTTACATATTTTTTGCCTACATTTTACCTTTCTTTACTATGGTCCTAGCTTACTTAGTTTTTGACATACACTGCTCAACAATTGAACTGAAAAATTTTAATGTAATAATGTTGTTAAGTCGGTCCCACTGCATATTGTGTATGCAGTACACATTTTTGGTTTTTTTGTAGAAGTGTAGAAGTGCTCTCTAAAAATGAATTAGGTAGTCAAAAATGACTAATATAATAGTTATTAGTGGCTGCTTTCACTTGTGGTGAACCATGGAATATCATGGTATTCCAAAATTGTCTGAATCCGAAAAAACTGTCAAAAATTATGAAAGTGGAGTATTTTTTGATATATAGTCAATTCCATATTAAATGGAAAATTGACTATATCTCAAAAACTGTTCTACTTGTTTTACTTTTGACATTTTTGGATTCAGGGGACAATTTTACATAAGAATTGGCTATTAAATTTTGAGATACCATGGTATTCCATGGTTAAGTGAAAAAGCAGCCACTAATAACTATTAAATTAGTCATTTTTGACAAATTCATTTTTAGAGAGTGCGGTTTCAAAATTACAACCTTTTAATGAAGCAAAAGTTCTTGTACCGCCTTCATTACTGGTTATTAGCAATCAATCAGTTTATTCACATTAAAATTATGCAGTTACGGCGATTAGAAGCAGTTCAACTCGAGTTGGATACGTGAGGGTTTACCTTAAGAAGATGTCGCTACAAGGTTGAATGTGTCCCAAAGTATTGTAAGTCGAGCATGTAGTCGGTATGTTCAGCAAACCATTGCTTAAGCATTATGCACATAATATTTTTTATTTTATTTTTTAAATAACGAAGCTACTTTTGGGAAACCATACCTGTAGGTTGATGATTAAATCAAATAAACCATTAAAATATTCATCTAATAAACGAAATCTCTCCAAATAGATATCTCTTTTCACTGGATGACCTTAGCATCAGTGGCACATTTCCTGCTAGTAGGCATGGGTATCTTCGTGTCATAGAACTTGGCCTTGGTACCGAATTCTTATATACACGAAATCTACTAGTGGGGAGGGCCGGAATTCGAACTTGGGAGGTCAAACTCGGGTTACCGATACATCTATTGTAAAAAAGAAAGTTTCTTATTTTCCTTCAAAACCGGACAGAGAGAACACAAACGCGCATAGCCCGTCCCTAATGCTGCCTCTGAAAAATTCTTAGCTCACGGTTTGTTAGGCATCAGCGTAATTGTTTAATTTAAATGCCACTGTAGAAAATTGCTGGTTTCCTAATTATTAGAAAATGAAAAAGACGATAAGCTTCTTTATACACACTTGGCGCTTATTTACTATGGTGTTTATTCACAGTACTTATTTTATTTAATTACGACTTTAAAAACCTAATTTAACCAAATATATGTGTACCCTACTTATTTTAATACATTAAACACTAATTAATGCTTAATAATAACCAGTTAACCCAAATTTCTTATAAAAAATAATATTATTTTATGCCTATTGTCAAAAGCTTCCCTTGGTTTGTCCTAAGTGTGTAACCAGCCTTACAATTTAACATACATCGTGAATAAACCAAAATGTTAATTTCTTTTTTATTATCTAAAATTATATTACATTATTAGTTAAAATGTTAAATTTTAATTAGTTTTTTGTAACTGTTTAATAAGAAGACAATTAAAATAAATTAAGTCCTATTCACAAAATTTATAAAAACGCAAACTTCTTAAAAATACATAGGTATTATGTAATTTACTAAAAAATTCATAACGTTAACATCCCATATTTGATACATTTTTTTAAAGTTTGTCTTAGGTGTGTACTTAGCTTAACGAATACTACAGTTTATTATAAATTATTTAAAAAATAAATTAAACAATTCTTCCATTATTTAATACATATTGACAAACGTTTATAATTTTAGTTTATAATTTAACAAAAAATAGATAATTTAGGATGAGAAAAAGTTCTGTTTAAAAAATATTTTAAACCAACAAAAAAAATAATGGGTTATAATTTGTTTTTCTATTATACCAATTATAATTTTAACTGTTAATTTTAATTATGATACCAATAAATGTAATCGCAATAAATTAGGGCCTATTTACACAACTTAAATACGTTATGTCAAAAGCATGGCTTGATTTGTAGAAGTCTGTCTGTTATGTATACCCAGCATAACTAATAATTTTATTTGGTACAAATTAACAAGAAATATAATAATGATTAATTTAATTTATACATCTTGTCAAACGTTTGTCTTGGTTTGTCTAGTTTTTTTGTTAAATGTGTACCCAGCCTAACTAATATTTGTTATCTGAAAAAATTATAATTTTGATGTTATTTTTTATTTAGATTCTTATTTCGTATTAGGTAAAAATATTATTCGTAAGCATTATTCACACAATGTATAAGTAAAAGATAAAATAAAAACTTGTTTAAACGAAAATAACTTATATTTTATTTAGGCTTAAAATACATCATAGCATTAAATAAACAGCTTATATTAATATATTTTGTCAAAAGCTCGCCTTGGTTTGTTAAGGTTTTGTCTAAAGTGTGTACCCAGCTTATAAATATATAAAAAAACTAAATTAAATAATTATTAAATTTTTAGACTTAAATCCGGCTTAAATTTAATTGTTGTTAAAATGACTTCAAACTTTTATTTTTACAAAAAAATAATCCATTGTGAGAAAGAATATTCGACCTTCTAGGTGTATATTCTATTAATTGTTATATATTAAGGTCTGTGTATTGTGCACCAACCTCAAAAACAACTAATTTCTAGGGAATAAGCACAAATATACAAAAAAATAATATAACATTTAGCGTTCCACCTAATAAAATCTTAATGGCTTTATTGTTAGCCATTATAACCACAAATTAACCTAAACTATAATTTTTACTGTTAATATAATCTAATTAATAATTACAATTACATTTTTTAAAGACAAATCCATTGAAATCCCATAAATACAAAATGATATAATTATTATGCAAAGGAACGATATTACAGACACAATTGAAAGTATTTTCTTGGACTAATGAAACTGTATTAGGTCAATAATTTCTACCGTACAAAATTCATTCAAAAATTGCTTTGGCTTTCATTTATAAAAAGCGCATTAAAAAAATTACGCTTTTATGTTTTAACATTTTACTTAATTGTCGATGATATAAAAGCACGAGTAAAAGTGATTTATGATTTTTATTTAAAACGGGTTTAAATTAATATTGATTGGAGATTAATTAATTGAAACTAATTAAATTAAATAAATTAATTTTATAAAAAGGATGTTTTCTTATATTTTTAACATTTCATATGGCTTATATGATTTATATTTTTTTCTTTGAGCATAACTTTTTTTATTTTGTTTTTACTATAATTTAAGAAGACATTCGTAAAACATCTAACCTAGGTTGACATAATGAAGACAGATATATATTCTTAATGTTGATTTTTAGCTTAGGATTATATTCTTAAGACTAGCTTAGGTATACATTCTTAAACCTTAAAAACCTAAACGTTAAAAAAAATCTATACATATGTACATAATATGTATATTATAATAGTATATTATGTATCCAGTTTTATAAACGCCATTTTAGTTACGAGTTTTACTAGGCATGAGCGGGGCTTGCGAGCGAGTGTCTAGAAAACTTTAGCCCGTGACTAAAATGCCCAAAAGTTCATTGCTTACTGATTAAAACGCCCTAAAGCTTGTCAATTTGGGAGTAGATAAATAAAAGTGTTTCCTTATAATGGCCAATCTCCGAAACGACTAAATTAATTTTGACAGGACTTTCATTGGCAGATAGAGGACATTTCATTTTTTGTTACTATTTACTAATGGGAATGGGCGAGTAATGTAGATTTTTTTACTCTTGTTTCACTTTTTTGTTTTTATTTTCTTCTTTACTTTTTTCGACTTTTTTTGACTTTTTACTAATAGAAATGGAAAAAAATGTAGCCTAATTTTTTTTCTTTTTTACCTTTTTTTTGCTTTTTTGAACTTTTTTTGTTTTTTTTAATACTGTACTTACTCTCCCATTCCCATTGGTAAAAAGTAAAAAAAGGAAAACAATTTAAAAAAAATCAGTAACTGTAGGCTACTTTATTTTACTATTTTTTTACTTTTTTGACTTTTTGACTAATACCAAATTTTGCAATTTTTTATGGAGCACTGATGTAAATTATTGTTATTAATTTTTTTTGTTTTCTTGACTTTTTCGACATTTTTACTTCTTTTTACTTTATTTTCAATTTTATTTATTTGTATATATTAACCTTTTTTTTCATATAACGTAGTTGTTTAATAAAAATATATTTATAAGAACACATAAATAATTAATATTAAAATTTTATGAATTATTTATTTACTTTCGTACTGACATTTGTTGTATGTTCTGTTAATTTGGAAAGATTTGGCATATTTTAATTTAAAATGGTTGATTAAAAATAATTTCTAAATTCTAATTGTCCAGTTTTAATGGTCACTTTCAATACCATGTGGATTAAATTGTCAATGTTTATGAATTAAATAATTTTAAATAAAGTTATAAAACCCTTTAAAACGATAAATTTATAGCGAAACTTTTTATTATCGTTTAATTATAAATGACATTGTTAAATTTAATATACGCAATAAAAGTACTGAGAAATGTATAATTAACCGTAATTAATGTATGTACACCTTGTGTAAACAATGTTAAAAAATTAATAACCGTTGCTTTCTATTTAAATAATATTTTTGGGCAGCCGGTGGGCACACCATGGTGTAATAGTAACCCATTTCCTCGGATACCTAAGCGATTACACACAAAACAATAAAATATTTACCGATAAACTATGCATAAAGTTAAACTTGTTAATATTCAGTGATTTACCAGTATGACCTCTCATCCTTTCCTTTATTTGGTCCTCTAGACGAATATAAAATCAGACGGCTGGACCGTTTCAATTTTAGTCTTGAGTTAACATTTGAACCGAAAGGTGTACAGTACAGTGCAGCATGAACATGAAATTCTTGTGCGTGGTGGTGGCAACCTTCGCCATGGCTTCGGCCGAATACAGCGGCGGTCTCAAAGACGCTCTCGACATCTACAGGGAATGCAGCAAGAGCGAGGGCTTCTCGCCCTGCCTGAAGAAGAAGGCCATCGGCGTCTTGGACAGATTGGGCCGCATGCAGCAATTCAACTTCGGCGAGGGAGTCAGTATTGTGCACGAACCTCAAACCGCCCCTGTCGAGAGTATCGAGCAATTGGAGGCAAATCTGCCGCGTGCGCTGGACGCCAAGGACGCCGCTTTAAGTGACATCGCTTTGAACAAAGTATCGCAATTGCTGGGAACAAGCAACATTCAAATCTCCTTATCGAGATTCATCGAGGATGACAGCAGCGAAATGGTTGAAGAAAGTAAGTTATCAACCCCTTCATTATTATTTAACAATGTATTAATGGCAATATTTTATAGGTCGTAAGAAGAAGGGAGGCAAAAAGGGAATGATGGGAGACATTGGAATGCTCATCGCCGCCAAATTGGCTGCAATCCTCCCACTGAAAATCGCCCTTATTTTCTTCATCGCCAAGAAAGCTTTGATCATCGCCAAAATCGCCCTCTTGATCTCCGGTGCCCTGGCTATTAAGAAACTTTTGGCTTCCAAGGGAGGCAGCGGCGGACATGGCGGCGGTTCCAGTGGATGGCAGTCCAGCGGCGGCGGTTGGGATAAGAGGTCCATGGAAGAAGCCCAAAATTTGGCTTACAACGCTTACAAACCTCAACAATAGATAATTTAAGTTAACTAGTCATATCTAATTTATTTATTTATTTTAGCACAAATTTTACTGATTACATTACTGTAGAACGCAACCACTTTGTACATATTTTTCCTGATGTATGACGTAAAATATTATTAAAAAAGACTTTTATTATTTATCTATTTATTTGTGCCACAATAAACAATTGTTCTCAAACGAGTTTTTATTATTTATTACCGTATCCCACCTGTTTGATTTTAAGAGGAACAATGCGAGAAAGCTTTAAGCAATTAAAATAAAACACAAAGCCCAATATAGGTCAATGCATCTTCTTCTATTAAGAGAAATTAATTAAATTTAAAAGTTCGTCGTGCCTCCGGTAGGAAAAATTTGACCTGCGGCACAATTTCGGCCTCCTCTTTTCTTCAGTAATGTTTGTTATTTTCATCGCCGACTTCGTGATTATGTCGTTTCAATATCGGACAATTTAGGTACAAAGCTAATCAAGGTTATAAGGTTTCTCTTCTATTAGAGGAGGAAGTTAATAATGGCGTTTGCAAGTAAATGAGTAATTGGTTTTTGGTGTATTCGCGATTTTTTTTTCACGCTTTATACGTGAAAGTTATTGTCTTAATTTGAGTAGGATGTGATTGCCATTGATTTTTATAAAATGTTCTAAAAGAGGATGTGACATACATAAATATGATTTAAGAAAGATATTTTGTCTTTAAAATAATTCCTCTTAAAAAACAGTACCAAGGCATGCATGATATAAAGTTGTGGATATTTACTGCAGTAAATAGTTTCTTATGTGTCCAGTTTAATAAACGTCATTTAAATCACTCATTTTAAGTAGGCACGAGAGAAGCTTGCGAGCGAATGTTTAATGAAAATAAGTGTCTAGAATAGTTTATAAGCAAGTTGCATACTATAATTTCATTAATATAATTTAATACTAATTATAGAGCGATATCTTTATAAAAACAAAGTACTTAACCAAAATTAGTATTAGGAATCTATTATACCGGCTTTTAAAACGTCAGCGTCAGTTTGTCAGGTTTTCCTGTAAAAATATAAATTTCTCCCTTGAAAATTAACTACAATTGTTTAAATTCAATATAAAAGAATTTTTTACAGTAAAAGTGAAGAGGATGTTTTTATTAATGCTTCATCAGCATATACTATTTTGCCTTCATGATTTTGTATAATGATAATAATAATAAAAAGTGTTTAATAAATTGAGTGTCAATAAAAGTTTATAAACGAGTTGGATAATATACTTTATCTCCACGCGGTCTATAATTTAAACTTTATTGTTGTCAACATTCGATAAAGAAATACCTTGTTATGGCCTAGGCCGATAAAAATTTTTATGAGGCAAGTAATTAGTTCAATTTTTTCTCGCTAGGGGTATTGTTTTGACAAATTAATCCTTTTCTAAGAAATTAACGTACTAAACTGGTTTAATTTATTTATAATAAGCACTAATTTGTTTGTTTTACTGTTAAAACATTATAATGTTTAATATTTTTCATTAAATTATTGTAAAATTAAATATGAATAATAAAACAAAAAGTGTGGTTAGGACATTGCAATTTGACGTTTCTGTGGATTTTACAGTTGTTTTCATTTTCTACGATTTAAATTATCTTTAAACTTTAATTTGCTTTAAATTTTCAGTGAAATTAAATGTTAAACACAGCGTAAACATTCCAAACTACCTATTTTTTTAATAAAAATGCAAACAAATTGAAATTAGATACCTATTTATTAAACAATTAATTGAATTCAATGTAATAGCAAGAGGGTAAGTAAACCATTTTCTTACAAAAATCCATTTCTACTTAAATCATGTAGCTAGGTATTGTCAAACTATTACTGCTTCTAAAAGGAATAATAATTATTGTACATTTAATGTAATCTTTAGGTAATAAATAAATGAGGTTCTAAAAAAGTGAGGTTAGGGCGATTTCATGTTGAATTAAATTGACCTATATAAAGTGCTTTGAAGATAAAATGTTGTATGCCATTCGGCCAAGAAGTGTCTTTTTGTGCTTCGCTCAATTGTAGGCCTCCGCTACGCGTCGGCCTTCAAACTTTGAGCTTAGCACAAAAAGCCTTACTTCTTAACCTAATGACATAAATAACTATTATCTCCACGCGGTCTATAATTTAAACTTTATTGTTGCCAACATTCGATAAAGAAATACCTTGTTATGGCCTAGGCCGATAAAATTTTTTATGAGGCAAGTAAAGTTCGATTTTTTCTCGATAGGGGTATTGTTTTGACAAATTAATCCTTTTCTAAGAAATTAACGTACTAAACTGGTTTAATTTATTTATAATAAGCACTAATTTGTTTGTTTTACTGTTAATGTTTAATATTTTTCATTAAATTATTGTAAAATTAAATATGAATAATAAAACAAAAAGTGAGGTTAGGCAACCAAGAAAACGCACGATTCTTTTTCTACGATTTAAATTATCTTTAAGTTTTTATTAGCTTTAAGTTTTCAGTGAAATTAAATGTTCTAAAAGCAATAATATTTATTGTAAATTTTATGTAATCTTTAGCTAATAAATAAATGAGATTCTAAAAAAATGAGGTTAGGCCGCTTTGATGTTGAATTAAATTGACCTATATAAAGTGCTTTGAAGATAAAATGTAATATGCCATTCGGCCAAGAAGTGCCTCTTTGAGCTTCGCTCAATTGTAGGCCTCCGCTACGCGACGGCCTTCAAACCTTGAGCTTAGCACAAAAAGCCTTACTTCTTAACCTAATGACATAAATAACTATTTTGTACAGCAAATATTATTAGAAATTTTTGTATAGAGCGACATCTAAACAAAAATGGCTTTTTAAATGGCTGTGTTCAAATTTGTCTATATAATAATATATATACTAATAAAAAATCAGTTTATTTTTGTTTTAATTTAATTTAATAAATTGAATTATACTAATCCTTTCCTAAAGAAAATTATTTTTTTTATATATACCCACCTTTCGTTTATTAATAGTACCTACTTTCAATCGAACGATTTTTAGATGTATAATCATAACCGTTATCGTAATCGTATATAAAATCTTTTTTTCACTACTAAATTTGTAATAAAATGTAGTTAAACTAAGTATGTATTTATATTATACTATATTATTAGATTGTATAACCAAATATAATTTTTTATTGATTTAAAGAGAGTTAATAAATAAAAATGTAGTATATGTCAAAATTTCTTTAGAAATATAAAAAAATTGTCATTTTTAATTGTTAAGACTTAAAAAAACCATCAAGTGTAATTTTTTTTATTAAAAAGAAATACAAAACCATAATAATTATAAAAAAAAATAAAACTTGTATTCTTTGCCTGTTACTGGCATATGGCATATGGCCTGATTTTCTGGGGTTCCTCTAACACATTTGACTCAGCCTTCATTGCTCAAAAACGTGCACTTCGATCAATGTTACACTTAAGACGCACAACATCTTGCAAACCGTATTTTAAGGAATTAAATATTATGCCGTTACCTTGTCTGTATATCTACAATATGCTTTTGTTTACAAAAAAAAATCCAGGACTGTTTACTAGAAATATGGACGTGTTTAATAACATGAATATGAGAGGCGGTGCACTATTAAGAGTTCCATTACATAGGTCTGAATTATTTCACAAAAGTGTTTTGTACAGGTGTATAGCGGTCTCAAACAAGTTGCCCAATGATATAAAGGAGATACAGTCTATAACAAATTTTAAACAAACAGTAAAACAGTTCCTTTTACACCACTGTTTTTACTCTCTGAATGAGTTTTTACAATGTCCGTTTTAATCGTCTATCACTATAAAATTTAAATGCTAATATATTGATTGTCTGTTTTTTTTGTGCAATTACAACTTTTTGTCTCAAATTGTTTTGTACATTTTTTATTTATACATCAATATGTTATTTATACATCAATACCTATGTTATTTACTTGTTTTTTGTTTTACAGGTAATTTTTTATGTTAATGTGTACTTCTTTAAGTTGAAAATTTACTATATGTATATATTTCCTTTTAAAATTTGTCTAGTTAGTGTTTTTGTCTTACAATTTTGTTCTTTTTCTGACCATGCTTATGTCATTGTATATGATCTTATTGGCAAATAAATATATTATTATTATTATTACTGTCATCATATTATAGTTTTTTTCTAAAAATAAAAAAAATACATTTTTACACAAACAAAATAATACCTCAAAGTTAATTTAATCATAATTTTTATAATATTTAGTATATTATACTATTGTAAATTATGCCAAAATGGACCGAAATGTTTATATTTTGAAAAAACTTTTGTTTAAATAAATAAAATTCAAACAATTCATTTATGTATTGTTTTAAAAAACAAAAATAATTATTAAAAATATTTTCGGTGCATCCGCCAAAATTGCAAAAGTATAAATTAAAATTTACTTCCAAAAAGTAAGATTTGGTATTTAAAATTGACCATTTTGTAAATAACAAAAATATAGAACAAATATTATAGGTAAATAAACATAGGTAGGTAAATACTTTAATGCTTTTTATGTATATTAACCAACTATAAAAAACATGTTTTTGCTGTTTAGCTTAAATAAAGTCTGGGAGCCAATCACATGGTTTTAAAATAGTTATTTATGTCATAAAACTGAGCCTTAGTAGCGAAGGCCTATAATTAAGCGAAGCACAAAAAAAAACTTCTCAGCTGCATGGCATAGAATATTTTATCTTCAAGCCACAATTTCATTTGTTAAATACATAAAACGTACAATTATAATAATTATTATCAAAAGTGAAAAGTAAGGTTAGATAGAAATGACAGTAATTGTTTTGATTAGTCCTGGCGGGTTTTTTACAGACTAGAAGGGATTTTTTTTTTGGATTAGTCTTAATTATTTTAACAGCCCTAACAATAATAAAGTAAAATTATAATAACAATTATTAAAAAGTAAAGTTAAATTTCTCACAACTGTCAGAAATTTTTTGATTGGTTTTAACGGTTTTTTTACAGATTAGGATGTAGAAAAGTTCACTTGATTGGTCTAAATTATTTTTCAGTCTATTCGAATACTTTGGTAGTAAGCGTTGACAATAATTGTAGAACGTTTGAAGAAAAAATTATTTTTGTGAACTTTTAAACGAAGAAATTAAAAAAATTCAGAAAAACAAAAGAAAACATAAAAAGGCCAAGGCATCTAATTAAACTATTAAGTTTGACCTGCGGTGTTATAGACTATACGATATGCTATAATATAGTCACCCATAATATAACAAGTGTTATGATTATCATCGATAATATTTTCAAATTAAAACCGAGCTGCAGATTTCACGAGTCCGCAGGACGAGTGAAATATGCTGCTTCGGTTTCAATGAATAAATATCATCGATAATTAATCATACCACGAGTTATATTTAGTGAGAAAATATAATGAATTTTAGGATTTAACGAATTGTCAGTTTGACATTTGAAATTAAAATGTGCTTTAAAATATTAAAAGACTTTAATAAACCTTATTTATTTAAACTTACCTTAATTTTATTATCGTTTACACCAACCCATCGATCTTTTAGAGTTTATAATTCATTATTTTAATCATTTAATAAACACAGTATTTAAATGTTAACAAATGTCAAATCAAGAAAAGTGTCAAAATCATCAAACAAGGTGATAAAAATATTATCGCTGTGATAAAATGCGTAACTATGAAATACTGGCATTTTATTGGTTCTTATTATAATGAATTGTATTGTCACAAAAAAAGCATTACCCTGTATTATATTAAAAAAATAACACCTTATATAATGTATTTTCCTTAAATGTGAATGCATATGAAAATTAGATATTTTAACTTTTATATTTTAGAAGATGAAAGAGAAAGCGAAATTCGACCATATTTTATTTGACAACTTTCATTATTTTTTAATAATCTATCGGGCTGGTAAAATTCGTATAATATAATATGGACCTCCCTGTATATTTTAAATGTTTACCACAAATAGGTTAATCAACAGCGTTTCACTCACACAACGATATAAATCGCAGAAATTTTCACATTAGCTTAGACAATAAAAACTACTTTCCTATACAATTAACAAAAATGTGCGTACTATAATCTCGTTGAATACTTATTGGGTACGTTTTATTTCCCATGGTTTACTCACTGTGCAGGTGACCTACCGAGAAGGATCTTCAATGGGTCAACTTAACACTGGTGTTAAATGCAGAAACTTTCATACGATTCAATGCAATAGTTTTTGAAAAAAATGCGGTAACATACATAAGCATAGTCGACTTTGTCTTGGGTAGAAAAACAGGGCAATTTTCAAAAGTGTTCTATAAAAAATCCCATCAATAATTTAAAGTTACCAATACGATGTTTTAAAACAAAATCAAATTTATTTATTTACCTCATAATTTAAGCTGTGTAAAGTTTTATTATATTAGAAAGTTATTTTAAATTAGCTGGTTTCTTTGATAATAATTTAAGATTAAAGAAACATTTGCTTCCCGCATAGAATGATTAACATCGATTTTTAATGGCCTTTAATTTAGTCAAATATTCCTAGATACATTTTAATTATTAAAAGAATAAATAGGAATAAAATTTAAATTATGATTATTGAATATAATACAATTAAAAAAAGACCACAAAGATTCAATTTATATCAAGTGCATCTTACCTCAGATTTTGTAATAATTATTGTGGTTAGATATTGAAAATAACTATCTTAATATAAGATGTATATGTACAGTACATGTTCCGCTATGCTTGTAATAATAATAGTAATATCTTAATTAATACAATTTTATTTCGAAATATGATGGATTATATCTTGTGTAAAACTATACTTTATCTACTTCAATAAGTAGATTATTTCCATTGGTAGCCAGGGACTTAATATTGTTTATTATTATTCACGAAAAAACAATATTATACAATAGAAGTAAAAAAATAAATTTTATTTTAAAATATTAATTTAAAAATTTTAGATTTTTTTAATATTAACAAAAACAAATAATAAAACAAATTGAGCCTAATAAAATGGGTGGAATAAATTATTCTTTTTTTGTTATTTTAGTTGGTTAAGTAATTTTTGAATATTTTTATTATTATGTATACTAATAACTAGAGACCGGACTTTTACGGACTTAAAAATTTTAAAAAGGATACTTAACAGGCACCCAAAAAAGGCAAAATAGGCAGGTGAAAAGGCAAAAAATGCACAAAACTAATTTAACAAAATATTAAGGCATTTTTTATGGTTCTGTTAGTTTATTTGCCATTAAATACATGCATTAAAAAAGGACCAAAAAGACATTATGTTTTCTATTTCAGGCAAGCTTTAAGGCACTTTAGGCAAGTATTTAGCAGTTTTGTAATTTTTTTCGAAAAAGGGCAAAAATAAGGTTGGGTTAAATTGCACTAAAAATTACATTTTGCACTAAGAATTTTCAATGGTGTATTAAATTGCATCAATTTAATTGAATCCGGTTTCTAATAATAGCAAATATAATAATAATAATATACCTATCTAAATTTTAATTACTAAAATAATATTAATACTAATAATAATTTTAATTGTAAAGATATTTGTGAAATCATAGCAAATAAAATCGTACTATACATATTAGACTGGGCCAAAAAAATCAACTATTTTTTTTTGAAAAGTATATCAAAAATATGGTTTGGGGTGAGAAAACAAAATTATTGTGAAAGTTTGAGTCCATAATATTATTATAAAGAGGTCTATCATCGCAATTTTAATTTTTTTTTCCTCAGCAAGTTTTAGGCTCAGAACTCCCAAACCATTGACTTTAACAAAATTGACTTGAAAATATTTTTTTAAGAAAATTAAATTCTCTACAAAAAATGTTAAAGTAAAATTTTCCGTCAGATGAACCGTTTCCTTAAAATCATGCCTAATAATTGGTATATTTTGATCTTTTAAATTGGAATTTTGTAATTCATGTAAAAATCAGAAAAGGGTTCATCAGATGGAAAATTCCATTTTAACCTTTTTTGTAGAGCATTCAATTTTCTTCAAAAAATATTCTTAAGTCAATTTTGTTAAACTCAATGATTTGGGAGTTCTGAGACAAAAACTCGCTTAGGAAAAAAAATCTAAAATTGCGATGACAGACCCCTTAATATTAATATTATGGACTCAAACTTTCACCATATTTTTTTTTGTCACCCCAAACAATATTTTCGATATACTTTCCAAAAAAAAATAGTCGATTTTTTTGGCTCAGTCTAATATATGTATATATTTTATAAAAAATAATTATATATTTTGTTTAGTGGAAAATTTATTTAAAGTAATAAAAAATATTGAGGTTTATACAATTTAAAAACTTTAATTTCACAATATTTTATTAAAAATAAAGCAATTAGCAGTACTGTATTTTCAAATTTTTTTATTTAATTATTTACATATTTTTTTTGGTTAACATAATACAATTTTAAAAATATAGAATTTATAAATAAAATTTAAAAATGCAAGAATATAAAACAGCGTTAATTTTAAATAGTGCATTAATTTAATAAAAATTACAAGATTTAAAGAATAAATCTAATTCATTAATTTTTTATATTTATTGTATTTTTTTTAATAGTTGGATTGGATCAATTATTAAAAAACTCATTTATAATAATAATTACTGTTAAAAAAGAAAAATAGTGATTTGTTGAAATATAATTAAGATTTTTTAAATGGTAAACATGCTTTTTTTATTTTTTTGATTATTTAAAAATAAATTGATTATTTTTATTATAGAATTATCGCAATGAAAAACTACGTATTTTGATTTATGGTTTTACATACCTTTAAATCTTAATTAATATACCAGGCTTGTTGGTGCAATAAAAAATGTTAATTGATACTTAAAATTTATTGTTCACACATACAATGGCTATTAAAAAATCGTCACCACTTCACTGAATAATGTATGGCTACGTCGTTACACAATACACCGATTTAAGCAAAATTTAACACTTTTTCGTTTGATTGTTTTTATGCTTAAGTGCAAACAAGTGTGTAGGTTGGTGAGTAGAAGAAGATGAAATGTTACAATTTGGCGATTTGAAATAAACACTTGCATGCATGCTACTTTTGTGCGGCCTGACCTAAGCTCCTTTCAAATATTTTGGACAAGATATAAATTGCCCGTACGGTCCACTTTGATTTCAGTTCTAGTTGACTTGTTGTATGCGCGGCTGCTTAGATTGTGCCATCACCTATCGCTGAAAATGAGGTTCGCGTATGTGCTAGTGGTCGTTGCGTCTCTGTACGTAGCAGGACGTTGTTCCGAGGTCAATTCTGGTGTCAGTGCCGCTTTGAAATTGTACGAAGAGTGCAGCAAAGCCGAGGGATTCTCGCCCTGTCTCAAGAAAAAAGCCGTCACCATCTTGGACCGTCTAGGGCGCATGCAGAAACTCACCCTCGTCGAAGGGATCACCGTTGTTCACCAAGTAGACAGTGCTCCTGAATCAATCACGGAAGAACAGCTAGATGCTACTCTACCCAGAGGATTGGACGCCCAAGAGGATGCCCTCGACAACATTTTAGCCGATAAGGCTGCCAAGTTCCTCAGTGCCAGCACCTTGGAAATCTCCCCGAGAGCTATCGAGAACGAATTTGAAGGTAATATCGATATCTATATATTTAGAAAAAACTAACTTCGTCTTTCCTTTTCAGTAGCAAGAAAAGGTTCCGGTGGAGGCGGCGGCGGCGGCGGTAAGGGCGGAAAGAAAGGCGGCATGATGGGACACATGATGATGATGATGGTGGGCAAAATGGCCAGCCTTATCCCGATCGCGATCGCTGGTCTTTTCCTCCTCGCTGGAAAGGCTTTGATCACTGCTAAGGTCGCCCTTCTTCTGGCTGGAATTATCGCTATTAAGAAATTGTTCGCCTCCAAACACCAACAACCCCATGTTGAGCATGTTCACGCCTCTTCACATGGAGGACACGGTGGATGGCAAGGAGGCAGTGGCGGAGGATGGGACAAGAGGTCCTTCGATGAAGCTCAAAGTTTGGCTTACAAAGCTCATGCTCCAAAATAATAAAATTTTGAAATTTCAAAGAAAAATGTTACTGACCAATTTTCTGGTCTATTTATTGTTTTAATTTATAATATTTATTTTATTTAAATAAAGCTATGATTTTTATTATTAAAAATATTTTTATTTAACCCCCTCATTATTGGGTCACGATGCCTTGCTGCGACATGTGTTGTTTCTTCTGAAAACTCTTTACCTAATTACACAGAACATCCATTTTTCTCTGAAATATACAGTTAGTCAGTCAGATATTCTAATCAATTAGAATTAAGTCAATCAATAAAGAACATCCGCTATAAATCTTTGGGCATTTGTGTCCTAGATTTTTTCAAGTCACGAAATATAATAATTATTTAAATTATATAGGTTCTAAATTAACCAGGCTAACCAAATCATTAAAGTTGAAGAAGACGGTTTCAAATCAATAAAACTAAGATCGAGTTTATACATTAATTCAATTTACAGTATAATTTAAATACAATGTGGCTAACTTATAAATTACATTGTATGTATACAACCACAGTTGTTGTGACAAATTAAAATTAATTAAATATTTAAATTAAAATAATAAAAAACAAATTTATTGAATATTACATAATGTTATGTATCACTTAGAGTTGGCTCCAAACAATTTAGATTTTTTTTCAATATTGTTAATAAATATACATGCAACAATAAATATTTTTTATGAAAACTCTTTCCTTTATTTATTTTATTTATTTTATTTATTTTATTTATTTTATTTATTTTATTTATTTTATTTATTTTATTTATTTTATTTATTTTATTTATTTTATTTATTTTATTTATTTTATTTATTTTATTTATTTTATTTATTTTATTTATTTTATTTATTTTATTTATTTTACTTATTTTATTTATTTTATTTATTTATTTTATTTATTTTACTTATTTTATTTATTTTATTTATTTTATTTATTTTATTTATTTTATTTATTTTATTTATTTTATTTATTTTATTTATTTTACTTATTTTATTTATTTTACTTATTTTATTTATTTTATTTATTTTATTTATTTTATTTATTTTATTTATTTTATTTATTTTATTTATTTTATTTATTTTATTTATTTTATTTATTTTATTTATTTTATTTATTTTATTTATTTTATTTATTTTATTTATTTTATTTATTTTATTTATTTTATTTATTTTATTTATTTTATTTATTTTATTTATTTTATTTATTTTATTTATTTTATTTATTTTATTTATTTTATTTATTTTATTTATTTTATTTATTTTATTTATTTTATTTATTTTATTTATTTTATTTATTTTATTTATTTTATTTATTTTATTTATTTTATTTATTTTATTTATTTTATTTATTTTATTTATTTTATTTATTTTATTTATTTTATTTATTTTATTTATTTTATTTATTTTATTTATTTTATTTATTTTATTTATTTTATTTATTTTATTTATTTTATTTATTTTATTTATTTTATTTATTTTATTTATTTTATTTATTTTATTTATTTTATTTATTTTATTTATTTTATTTATTTTATTTATTTTATTTATTTTATTTATTTTATTTATTTTATTTATTTTATTTATTTTATTTATTTTATTTATTTTATTTATTTTATTTATTTTATTTATTTTATTTATTTTATTTATTTTATTTATTTTATTTATTTTATTTATTTTATTTATTTTATTTATTTTATTTCATTTCTAAATTGTTTTTAGACTCTTAACAAATATTTTGGATGACCCAAGTAAAAAAACAGATTAAAGCCAATTTTTTAAAATAGTCATAAACATTTTTTAAACTATTTTAAAACGATATAAAACCTAATTAGTCAAAACACTTCGCAGGATTAAAACTGTTAAAATTAGTTCAAGAATTGTTTTCTAAAGTAAATTATCGAGTTAGTTAAAGAATGCCACTTAATTTTAAACATTAAGCGTAAGCCCTAAATATTTTTTGTTTAAGAACGGTTTATTAAAAATGTTCTCATTATTTTTAAATTGAAACTCGTTTGTTGTTTGAAACGAGAGAAATTGTCGTCTATATTTTAAATAATGAAGTAGAAATGTTTGACAATACTGATATGTTGTTTATTCTGGTGGCAAAATAAGTTAAGAATGTAAATTTGCCTAGGTAAAACAAACAACAAATAAAGAAAGTCACACTTGCATTTTCGTTGATATGTTATGATCAAATGCAAAACGAGCATTATGAATTTCGGTTTCCGTTTCATATCGTTGTTTTTCGTTTTGTCAAGCTGCCGGCAGGTCGGACCAGATTCACTGCCCGCTGGTAATTACAAGTGCTCCAGTATCGCGCGACGAAAACACTTGCTAACGCGTTGCACAGCCGAGTGCACTTGCTAAGCGGGGCACCAATCGGGTTGCGGAAAGAATTTTCTAGGTCAGAGTCGGCCAATGCCAAGGCCGGGGTGCACCCCGATGCCCCGCGAAATCGCAGGAAAATTTTGCGGGTATATAACCCGAGGGATTGCACTGATCTGCATCAGTCGTCGATCGAAGTGCAAGCTGTGAGTGAACCGAAGAACTTTTCAGTGAGAATGAGATTGACGTGCGTGCTCGCGGTCCTTTTCGTCGCCGGTACGTCGGCGCAAGACGTCGAAAGTGGTCTAAGAATCGCCCTCAAAGTCTACGAGGACTGCAGCAAAGCCGATGCATTCGCGCCATGTTTGAAGAAGAAAGCCATAACCGTCCTCGACAGGGTTTCCAGGATGGACAAACTCTACGTAGCCGACGGATTCGCCATCATCAAAGCCAAAGATACCCAACCAGAACCTACCATCACCGAGGAGCAACTGGAAGCGACTCTGCCTCGCGCCCTGGACGCCAAAGACGACGCTCTAAACGATCTACTAGCGGACAAAGTTACCAAACTCATCAGCTCACGCTCCTTGGAAATATCGCTACCCAAGATCTCACCAAACGAAGTCCTGGAAGAAAGTAATTACCACAATCATCACCACAGTACTTAATCACATACTAATTATATTTTGATTACAGGTAGAGGAAAGAAAAACAAAGGTGGGATGGGCATGATGGGCGGCATGATGATGGGTGTAGCCGCCAAAATGGCCGCCTTGATCCCTATCGCAATCGCCGGCTTATTTCTCTTGGCGGGTAAAGCCTTAATCACCGCCAAAATCGCCTTGCTCCTCTCCGGAATCATCGCGCTCAAGAAACTTTTCTCCCAGAAACACCACGGCGGCGGTCATCAGAGCGTCGGCTGGCAGTCGGCCGGAGGCGGCGGCGGTTGGCAATCCGGCGGCGGCGGCTGGGATAAAAGATCCTTAAATGCAGCCCAAACCGCACCATATAAAGCATACGTGCCTAAGTAACACTGCAATGACGTTTTAGTCAACTTTTTTATGTACAAACCATTACTATAATTTCATCTTGATACGACTGTTATTTATATTATTTAACTATTTATTTATGTATTTACTGAAATTAAAACCGAACAGTATTCTAATATTTTTCTATACAAATAAACTTTTTGAAATTATTATTGTTGTTTTTTTTACTGTTACACAAACAATGTAAAAATCTTTAAACAAGAGCATTCATTCAGGGTATCTGTGCTAATAGTTCACCCATTATAATCTAGTACAAAACAAGTACAATTGAGAAGCATAAACGTGTTAACTTGATACATGTGAGCATGTTTCATTTTAATTGTCAGATATTTACATACAATGCTTCAAACGTCTAAATTATAGATAGAAAACATGCTCATTATAGGTAAAATAGTAATTATGGCTATATGAAATTATTAATTATTAAATTTTACTTTGGAAAGCCCGGAATTTTTTTTTTGAAAAAAATGATGAAAGCATGTTTTTATTACTAAAGTTTTCTAAAGTGGTCAACATTTAGGTGGTCCATAAAATATAGTAACATTTCAATTCATGAAAAAGCAATAATTGCAAATAACAATAATTTGAGTGTTTTTCAAGAAGGAATCCTGGGTTGAATTTTCAAAGGTTTCCCAATAAAATTTAAAGTATATTATTATACGAAAGATAATGCAGGCTATTATTCACAAGGATGAGGTTTGCGTTTCGAGCCGTTAGGCGAGAGAAGTAATTCATCCGAGTAAATAATGCGCATTATTTCGAGTGTCACACTATGCTTTATCTACTTCAATTAAGTAATTTTCATTGATGACAAAATTTATTATAACCTCACTTTTCCCCGATTTTAAAGATCATTATAGTCGCCCCTCGTATATACCGAGTGTATCTGAGAATATGCGTACCCCTGTAACTTTTTTATTTATAAAGATGGACACATGAAATTTTGCATGGTTAATTAGAATATAATATAAAATGCCACTTATAAGAGTACAAAATGAATTGAACTTCCGGTTTGGCGGAAATGATACCAAGTTTCGATTTTTAAATGGAATGCCCTATATATTTTTACATATTTGGAATCCTGAGGAAATTCTGAGTCAGACAGCATCCTCAAATGGACCTTTTGACGTTTCGTCATCAGAAAATGTATCATTATAAAGATCAATCTAGAGTGCTTTGAACTATCTTATTTTCTTCTAATGGATCCACACAATGACTGAAAAATAGAACTTGCCTTAGAAAGTTGTTATTCAGCTATTCCCAGCAGTCTATACCTACTTGTCAAAATTCGTTTTTCTCAAATAATTCAAAGCACTCTAGATTGAACATTATGATGGTGCATTTTCTGATGACGAAACGTCGAAAGGTCAATTTGAGGCTGCTGTTAGACTCAGAATTTCCTCAGGATTCCAAATATGTAAAAATATATAGGGCATTCCATTTAAAAATCGAAAGTTGATATCATTTCCGGCGAAACCGGAAGTTCAAAAAATTCATTTTTTACTCTTATAAGTGGCATTTTATATCCTTATTAACCATGCTTAATTTCATGTGTCTATCTTTTTAAATTAAAAAGTTTCAGGGGTGCGCCTATTCTCAGATACACCCGGTATATAAACAAATCTGACATCTGTTAACCTTACTTTTTCCAATTTAAAACCCGATTGGTTCAAATAACAGTGGATATTGAAATCAGCCAATCACTGATGCCTAACAACGTGAATAATGAGTTTATTATTCACGTTGTTAGGCCATATTGGTTACCATTTAGTTAAATCCCAAATAATGTCAATAATATGCAATAGGAGTAGAAAAAATAAATTACATACATAAATATAAATTGTACCTATTATATACAATAAATACACATTTTAGTAATTACGTAAAAATCCATCAAAATTCACAAAACAAATAAATCGACTAAATGCAAACAGCATTATGAATTAATAAAAGCGTTGATTGAGAAAGTAACTCAATGGTAAAAGACCAAAAACGGGTACCTATATTAATATATCATCAATGACTTTCGGGCATTTTAGGTTAAATCTGTTGACAGTTGTCAGATGTCAAACGTTTAACAAGTAAAATTGGCTTAGTATGTAACTCGTTTTATTATAAACTTATCTAGTCACTCGCTTTTACTAAACACACGCTTGTAAACTTTGCTCGTGCCTAATAAAACTTGATACATTTTATACTATTTAATTAAAATATAAACGAATAAAATATTAAAAACACATTTAATTTTCAATTATTTTAAGAACTTAATAAATCAAGACTTACACATGCGATTTACAGTTTTAATAAATATGTGCTAATAAAATGAAACATACAAATGTAAATAATAAATTAAATTCATATTACAACTAATTATTTTTTAATTTGTTATAATTATAATAAGTGTTTAAGAATTTGCATAAATTGCCTAAATATATTTACATTTAAAAATAAAACCAGATTATCAAATACAAGTGTAACTAATTTAAAAAACTAAAATTATTAAACCGTGTTATAATTTTGTTTTTGAATTGGATAAAATAAAGTTGTAAAAATGTACAGTAAATGTCACGGGTTATTATGCGTAAAATTGCCTAAACCTTAAATCTTTTTACATTCAGATATTCGATATTACGTTTAAAATACAGAATAAAAATATTCCTAAAAAGTACGGATGAAAATTAAAGAAAGTAGGTAATATTTATAAAAGAATTTTTAAGAATTTATGCTAATAAATATTTAAAATGTCCGTACAGCCATAATGTATTGATATTTTATGTAAAAAATAAAATACACAACCTAGAATGAAAAATTAATTATTATCACTAGAAATTTTGTCAAACTCGTCGTCACATGTCCAATTACATTAATAATACTTTGTAAAACAAAACTTTTTATTTAGTTAATTATAACTATTCAATAAGGTTTGTGGGTATATAGTTTGTGAAAATTTAGCACGGCTCCTAATTGGGTTGAGGCTTAATATAAATGTATTGTTTTTAATATAAACCAAGATTTTTCCCAATCAACAAGACCGTGTGAAGATGTAAAGTAATATAATATAAGTACTTATTTTTCTTTAATTTATTTTTTCTACTTCCACCTTTATCGTACATGTTTCCATGACACTAAGTGACCTTTTAAATACACATTGACAAGTTGTGGCTTTACGGTGCTTTAGTCACGGGCTGAAGTTAGTTTTGAATTAGTTTACAGTTGTCAAATGTCATACAATCGTTAAAATAAAGTGCCATTATTTTAAAATATAACTAGATGTAAAAATTATTTTATTATCTTAATAAAAAAGGATTAAATAGTTTTTTGAGGTCAATATTTGGAAAGATTATATGACCTTTTGATTTCGCTGTAGTAGTGTAGTTAACAAGATAAATTAAAATAATAACGGGCAACGTTAATGGTGGAAATTAATTCAAATTTTTTTATTGGGATGGTTACTTTATTTTTGTATAGATGTCCCTTTATACAAATATTTAGATTAAATAATTATTTAATTAATATTAAGTATATTTAATAGAAAAAATATACAGGGTGTTATGTAATTAATGTTATATATTAAAATACTGAATACCTTTTGACATAAGGTGTAATGGAAAAATATTTTAAAAGATATTTTCCCAAAGATAAAGAAAATATATGCATTAGAAGTTTTTTATATTTTTTGTGATACGCCACTGGTTACACACTTGTGTTCTGTGAGTACATAGATACAAACCAACAAAGTAGCTGCGCGTTGCCAGTTGTAAAAAAATGTTACTAAAAAATTTTCTTGCATAAAATAAATTAATACAAAAGTTTTAAGCCCTTAAAGTTCTAATTCCATTCTGTATTTATTTACTCATCCAGCTATTAACTTAAGCAATGATAAGAAAAATTGGTACCTATTTAAAAACTCCATAAAATTATTTTTTTCATTGGTTTTTTTCTTTCTGTTTACTCAGATGAAATTAGGACAAGTTCACAGGTTAATCGTTAAACATTCAATTTGTGTAAATAAATCCAAACGACCAAAAGCACTTCCCTTAGTTAAGATATTCACAATTTGAGCACATAACCTACAATTTTTTACCAACCAACATAATAAATTAAACCAGATTAACTTAAAGTAAAGTAAATCCATAGATCATACAAGGGATCTAAGAGTAAATCATTACGAATTATGAATAAAGTTTAAATCTGGTGTGTCTAAATTTAAATATATTTGTTATAAGTATGTTTTTAAATCACAATGTTAAAACGATTTTTAAAAAATCATTAGTTTTCAAATTTTTACAAGGTCTAATTAGTGATCTAGCGATTTCAGGTTTTTATTTTTTTCAAGTTTTTTCAGGTTTTTATTCTTTTATTTTGAAAGTTTGAAAATTTGTATTTTATTAGTAATAATAATAAGTAATTAGTGCGAAAGATTTTATGCTATGGCGGGTCGGGCGCTCGCAAATATTTAATTAACAAATATGGTTTTTGTGTTACGGGGAAGCGATGCAAAATGCTCGTCAAGCAAGAATTTTGTAGGTAGGTATATTCAAAATTATCACAACGCCAATCACGGACATCCACCGCCCTCGGAGCAAAGTTTTGTACGTGCTGTGCAAAATTTAAGGGACCGCGGAAGATTTAGCGCATTTGTTGGTGATAGGGGTCGGGCTCAGGGACGTGAATTTGTGGCCCTTGAACCTACAAAAAGTTCAAGCTCTTCAGGATGGAGATTATGCACTGCGGTTGGAATTTTGCCATTGGTATATACAGAAAAATCAAGAAGATGCTGATTGGAGCCATAGTGTTTTGTATACCGATGAGGCCATATTTACGAGAGACGGGATTTGGGCAGCAACTCAGGAACTTAATTGTAAATAGTCCAGACATTTTTACGCGGGTGCGCGAAAGCATGCTTCGCAGAGTTTAAGCTTGCATTCTAAATAATGAAATTATTTTGAGCATCTCAAATAAGGTAATACATTTTTAATTTTACATTTGGCAACACTGCATTAAAAAGTAATAGGTAAGGTTAATCCGCGGTTCCTATTTGATCAGT